TCGCAGGACTTTTCCCTCCCGCACCCCCTCCGAGACCTCCCCGCAGATCAGTGCCTACAGGCAGACATCGGCAACAGCTTCACGTCCAACACCTCCCCCACCGCCAGATGGACAAACGACCTCCTCGTTCAGGTCCTTGCCAATGAGGTCGAGGATCTTATCTACTCCAATGACGATCGCGCCGGAGACGACGTACATGTCGGCGAGTTTGACACCTTCTACTCCACTTTCAAGCAGCCGTTCGAGCTCGACTTCTACATGCGGAGGCTCGTCCAATATGTCAACTGCTCCACCGCTGTCTTCGTCTCAATGTTTGTCTACTTGGACAGAGTCCAGGAAATCTGCAAGCCTCTCCTCGCCACAGATATGAACTGCCATCGCCTCGTCTTTACATGTCTCGTCCTGGCAGTCAAGAACCTGGAGGATGAGGTCCATTCCAACGCCTACTATGCTCGCGTCGGCGGATTGACCATCGAGGAAATGAACATCCTCGAATTGAAGCTCCTCAAGGTCCTCGACTGGAACCTCACCATCGCTCCGGAGACCTACGCTGTGTATGAAGAGGGCATGGTCCACACTGCATCTGTACTCACTGGCGCTGCCAATAGTCCAATCGCCGCGGCTGTAGCCGCCCCCTATCCTATTCGTGTTGAGAACGACCACTGATGTCGGAAAAGAAGAAAAAAAGCTAACTACAGAATGGAGGAACACTTTCTCAGTGATGCCGGCAGTGAATAACGATGGGCAATCAGGTCTTTTATTTCTTTCCTGGATGGCGATGAGATTGCCCGGATCGGATAGATTACGGTTGGTATGGAGCGGACGGTATCCGGGCAGGAATATTAATCTCAGACAAGGATACCATTCTATTAACTCGATGTAGATGGTGGGCGATAATACGGAAGAAGCCGTATCTGTCGCTTATTAATTTGGAGATAGATCAAGGAAAAGGTGGACGGTATGGTGGAAATGGGGATGGTCGTTATTTTTGAAAAGCGCTACTAACTTATGTTGTCTGAGAGGTTTTTGATAAAGATTTTGATTCTAACAATACTTGAGACAAACCGATGTCGTGCCCTTGCCTTACTTGACCTCGACGTATGACGGTCAGCATCTTTTTTTGACGTTTTTTTAATGGGGATTTGCAAAAATACAACGCTGCACATGGGACGTTTTGTTGCCGTACAGTACGTTGTTGCTCCAAGAAATGGCAAAGAAGACGGGGAAGAGGTGAGAAGTGGAGGCGGCGTGGTGTATATATTACCGCTGTATCCTGGTTGGTTTCTACGTTGCAAAGGCATAAGATGCGCGGATACGGCTTGGCAACCAACAGGACAATCCTGGATGCATGCGTCCGAAGGGGGCGCCACGAGATCAAGAGATGGTGAGGACATCAATGCAAAAAGGCCGCAGCAAAAGGAAACGAATCATCTATCTCTCCTTCGATGCAGCACACACTGCTGTACTAACGTAGACTTGACCGCCCCCCCGCGCACACACCCCGAGATGGGATGTCGAGGAACACACAGTGCCCTCTCATTGCGCGACGCTGCCAACAGCGTCCAACGCGCGCCGTCAGGTGTCCAAGCGATCGCGGCGGGGCGCCAAAGGGCGCGCAGCGGGCGAGCATGGCAACGGGCGGGGGCGCGGGGGCGTCCGCCGCCGTCCTCGTCGACGTGCCGCGTTGCTCCGCGCGTTGTGGGGCTCGCGCATGGGGGATGTCCGTGCGAGCCAGCGTGCGGATCCAGCGATGCTCCCCTCTGCCCGGCAGGGTCGCGGCTTGCGCCGTGTGCAGCCAGCGGAGCCTCTGGCTGCGACCGTTCCGCACCAATCGTAGGTGCACACGGCGCATCCATCCCGTGCTGCAAATTCCATGGGCCAATCCTACAGCCCATGGCGCGACCGCATTGGACGCAAACGACAACCCGCCTCGCCGCCCATCCACCGCGCTGCCGGCCTGCAAGCAAATGCACAATCTTCCATCCCACGATGCCATGTCCTGATTTCCCTCGTTTTTCCTCGTTTGCCAACACCTCTGTGCCCATTGCAAGCGGGCGACTCATCGCCCCCTCCACCCCTACGTATGCATGCTGCCCAGTTGTGACAGTTCGCGCCATTCTGGCAGTACCATAGCTGTTCTGTACCCTTGGGCACAGAACAGATACGGTCCGTATCTCTCTAGCTGGGCACACGGAGCCCAGGCTTACAGTGCACCCTCAACCACCCCCTCCCTCACAATGTCAGCATCCTGACTTGCAAACATCATGTGCCCACCCCGCATCACTCCGTGAGTTCCATCACCTTCTCGCCTTGTTGCGACTGCGCTTCGTATCAGTTAACAACTTTCTCAGCCCTGCTCTCGCACCTCCCACGCCGCATTCGTCCATGTCGTCCGGCCCCTTGTTCTTGCATTTACTGCCCTTTTCAACTACCTCATCAACACGCGAGCCCCGTGGTACAATTCATCCGTTGCTTGACCACGTCTGCCAACAGGCCCCCTTCTACAATACTTACCCTGCCTGCCACTTGCAGCAGTATACTAAATTCGAAGACCTCTCCGGCAACC